ACCAACTATCAACTTGATTGGGATTTGACCAAAACATCTGTATCATGACTTTGGTCTCGATTAAAGAATCGGTACACACCTACTGAATAGTGAAACTACAGAATGTTTGCACTAAATATCTAATTTATGTTTTGTAGTTGTTCACTGNTACTCTTGAATGTAAGAACTTGACATTTTCCTGTGAGTAATTTCACTGATGAGGATTCAGTGGACAGTCACAAACCTTTACTCATGTAGCTCTTACTACAAATGACTGAACAGTGATGAACAAGTCATTGAAAACATTTTAGTTGACTACGTTCTGGAGAATTATAATTCAATGCACTCAACAGGCTGGGATAAAATGGTGACACTTTATTTATCATACAATGAAAAAGAAAAGGGGTACCTCTGTATTTGTTACTCTTTATAAGGCAGTCTGTGGAAAGATGTCTCTGACAAATCCAGAAAATCAGGAAAAAGAACAAACTGAAGGTTTTTCTCCAGGATGCATGAGAGTAAGCAACTGTCTTCCAAAAAATCAAACTGGAAATGGCCAGGATTGCTCTTAATGAAGCTTTAAAATAAGGAAATTTGACCTCAGCTATACTTATTTTACTTATACAAATTGAGAACAAACCGAGAGGAGCAGGTGGACACTGTTGAAAAGTTAGCACAGGAGAGAAAAAAGGAAATCCAGGAGCTGTGGGAGAAGATCGCTGAGCTTCAGCAGAAACAATTAAACGCTTTCAAGTTCCAGGTAGAGAAAGTTAAGCTGGAGATTAGAGCGGAAGACCACTGGCTGCAGGTCTCATGGAAGAAATGAACAGGAGCGTGAGTTGACTGATGGATGTCACGACAGATCAGTCCCTGCAACACTAGAGCTCAGTGTTTGTCTCACACATGAGAACGAGGCTAAGCTCACAGAAATCCAGGGGATCAAATTCTTTGGCTGTGGTTGCAATAGGGATTTTCCCAATACGTTTGAATGTTCTAAAAGCTCTATGACCTTAGTATTCTTATTAAAAATCTCTTGAGATAAGCAACCTGTATCTATATTTGAACATAAAAAGATTCATGGTGTTGACAGCCTTTCTGACCTGTGTTTACCAGAGAAATGAAGACGTAATCCCGCATTTGAACACTAGATGGTAAAAGTGAGCTGAACTGCAGAACTTGCAGAAGTTGAGTTAATCAAATTGTTTTCTCAATAGTGTTCAACATGTTTTGCAGATATAGACTATAATTAAGAAAATAAATCAACCTCTCCTCGTGTAACTTCTTTTCGGTGAAACCAGATGATTAAATTTAGCTCAGATTACTATTTCATTAATGTGAATTAGCAGCAGAGTAGAATTTACAATTTAATTATGAACGGAATGATTTCTTTAGTTTCTTGTAGTATCTGAAGAATTGTTAGAGAAGCTCAGGTAGAGACTGTGGACATTAAACCAAAACAAGAGAAGTGTAGTGAAGGAGACGTGGATACAAAGGATCTTGTGAAATAGAGTAAAATAGAAGCCACACTAAGGACGGAGCGTTTATGATGACAAATGGCATGTGGTTAGCAGTCGTCAAGGCAACCGACCAGCCATCCACAAGGCCTCTGAGACAGGAAGTTAAGAGAGAACTGAAAACAGCAACTGAAACTGAAACAGCAGTTGGTGCTCTGGTTGAACTGAAAGAGCTGTACCTGCGAGTATGAGTGTGTGTTTGTTTAAAACAAGGGAACATCTGCTGCTCTGACAAAAAGATCTCACACACACAGGAAGTATTTTCCACTTATCACATACACCACTTGATATTTTTGTGCAGATGTTACATGGACTAATTTGAACTGTCTCAGAGCAGTGATGTGTTTTTTCCAGAACACACAGACAACATGTCCTCAACATGGAGGACTTTGTTTTTCCTGGACATTTTTATCTCAACACTAACAGATAGACGAGCTCTACTAGTCTCACACATCCCATAAACCTGGACTCTGAACTTCATGAGTGCACAAGATAAACCTCTAACCAGCATGTACAATCTTTCCACAATGCACAAAACACATTAAACTCATCTGAATAAATACAAAAACGGTCTTTATTCAGATTTACATGTTGATTCACATGTAGTTTTCATAATGTATGCAGAATAAACAGTGATGACACAATGGTGTTACATTTCTATCAGCTGGGCAGTTACCTGTGTTGTTTAACCTTGGAGCTGAATGGTGATATTGTTTTTTATCATACGTGCAAAGTGCCAACAGTGGGACACACCTTAGTTTTGAAAGTAATCCAGTGGCTCTCAATCTCATAAGTTGGAGGCAGGTTAGAAAGACCAGCCAGCCTCATGATAAATAACCATATCATCACACAAATTCCCCTGCTAACGTTTGGCTGCAATGACATCCCTTTAATATAGACAAAAACAGGAATCTAGGTTTAAGTGCACTTCAGTTGTTCCATGACAAAAAATTTCCACTGTCAGGCTTGTGAAGTCAGAAGGATCTGAACATTTAATTAGCAGAATTGCCATCATTAATTAGAACATGTCGATTTCAAGTCAGCTCATGCTTCAATGTTGAGAACACTATAAATTAAATTTAATTCAACACACTTGTGCTGGTGCAAAGGCCTAATATGAACCATACTATTTACATGCAAAGAAACAAGAATTTGTTGCCTTTACCAACTATGTTTACATGGACACTAATAATCCGACTATTGACCTTAATCTGAATAAGATATTTATGATGTTTACACAAGCTGCTAACAGAATCTTCCATTCATATTCCTGTATGTAAACATGTTAATTGATTATCAGAGAATGCTGTTTACATAACAGTGTCTTCCTTGGACTTGTCTTAATCACATTACTGTTAGAAAATTGGTGTCCAAGTAAACATAGTGAAAAAAAAATGTCTGATTTGGTCATTATGACTTGGTTGTAGAAATATACAGTAGCACTCAAAGAGGCTGTGAGCAGAAGAAGAAAAAAATCACAGAGTGAGGAGCATTTCCAAGTACTATGACGTGTAACCACAGAGAAGTAGAAACATTTTCCATTATCTTTCAATATGTGATGCAAGTTGCGAAAAAATGTTGAAGAAACATTTGGAAAAGCGACGTCTATTCCACATCTGCTGTCAAGTGAGCCCAAACGCCTTGAATGAGAACCTTAAATAATTTCACCATGACAGTAATGTGAGTCCAGTGTCAAAAATCTACAGGGGTTTGGTTCACAATCTTGGCAGCGTCCTGTTTGTCCTTTAGAGCTGGGGCTCTGCTGAAAGCAGCCTGGGAATGAAGTCTGCTTTTAGCCTGCTAGCTGCTAACACACCAGTAGCTTAGTGATGCCAGAGGCACAGGAAGTGTTTTCCAGGGATGGAGACTAAGGACTTGCACTGACAAAACTGAGCATCAGAATCGACTGAAGTTTTGGGCTGTTAGCAGACTAAAGCATAGATAATATGAATCCATCCACACACCTTCAATACCACCTCCCCAACACACACACACACACACACACACACACACA